AGAATTCGTGATAAAAATTTATTTTTCTTTAAACAAAATACTTTTGTCTTTTGTCTCAAATTCCTACTAGTAGTATATTGTCCTTAGCTTATATTACTATGGAAGCTATAACATGAGGTATTGCCATTTTTCCTGTTTTCCAGAAATTTGTTTTGGATTTGGGAGAGAGAAAAACTCACCAATGAGATTCCCAAAACACCCCTTAATATTATCCGTCTTAGCCGATTAAGGATGGGAAGGAATGACATATTAGAGTAAAATAGAGATATATTACAATTAAAAAATGTAGAAGCTCATAAGCGGGACAAAGCCAAGCACGAGCAATGCCAGGCTACCCCATAAGTGTATTGTGCCAGTCAAGTACTTTTGATGTGTACAAAACCTTTTAAATAAGGAAAAAAAATGACATATTACAAGAAAAATAGTCTTGCAATTGACATAATGCATTGTCGTATGTCTTTTATAACGTGCATATTTACAATGCAGCGATAGACAATGCATATTGTGAATGATTGCAAAGAGCATTGCTGTTAATTTTTGTAAAAAAAATATATTAATAAAAAAAAGCTAACAAATCTCAATTGGTTAATACGTTTACTGATTGTTGTGATAAACCTTTTTTTGGCAACACATAATTAATAAATGTTGCAATTTACATGTTGCAAAAAGCAATTTTTTTTAAGGAAGTGCTGCATGTACATAATTGTCTACATAATGATGTCCATAATTATATGTGACATTGGATTCAACATTTAATTCAAATATCACACTTTTACATCAACAATCGGATGATTGCCACATCACATTATGGACAAGATTATGTGCAATAATTATGTGCAAGTAGACTTTTCCTTTTTCTTATAGTGAAAGTAATAGTTTTTCACTCTAGTAATAATTTATTCATCTTGTTTCCTTAGTAGATTCACAATAGAGTAATGTACATATGCTTAATTTAAACTATCACTAGAATGAAAAAGACACATACTATTAAAATAATGCATTACAATGTAATAAACAAATGCAACAAACAATTAAAATAATGCTGCATAATTAAAGTCTCTCTCATTTGTTCTACAATTTGAACAAACCTCGTCTTGTTCTTGGATGAAAAAATAAGAGCATTTTAAAGCAAGGTTGAGGTAGGATTTCAGAGGAAACTAAGAAGTGAAGGACTTACCTGCATTAATGGATGGATATGAATCATATGATCATCTCTTGATGATTAGAATTACAGTTTTGAGTGCTAGAGATTCGCTATATCCTTAATTTCTGCTATGTAGCATCAGATTTTTGAGGTTCATGTATGAAATTTGTTGAGTATTAATTGTTGGTTTCTGGGCTGAATTTTCCTGCTGCTGTTCATGCAGTCTGCAGACACTGATAGATGGTTTTGTATTGAATCTATTGATGTTCATAAAAAAACAGTATTTTTTTCTTATTTATACTGAAGTATTCACATACTATGTTTTCTTAAAGGGAAAAAGAAAAAGAAAAACTCGAAATTTACGACCTAAGAATAAAATCTTATTGCTGTATAAGAAAGAGAGGGACAACAATGGGGACGAGCCCGGGAGCTGTACGGTATGCTTCTGAAAGGGGAGGAATTGTCTTCATCTGCCGTGTTTCCATATGTTTCCCAGCAACTGCATCAGAATGGCTAAAGAGAAGTCGCTAAAGCCCTAAAAAAACATCTCAACCAATATTTCATGACATGTTTGATACATTAAATTGTGCGTTTTAAAGAAAGTAAATTCTTTATCACCAATTTCACGAAGCATTTACCAGCCAAATCGGCAAGTTTACTCTTTTGACGCTGAGATCCGCTCACGAAGATGAAATTTGCGCATGAACGTACGTATCAAGTGAAACCCGGGAGTTCCCCCAAACACTTCAGAAGGCCAAATGGCTACATATTATGCAGCAGCCAAGATTGCCCCATGAAGCGTTCGGGGGAACTCTAGGGTACACCTGATTTTACAATCGCGTGCTACGACATGCCTGACTTGGTGCCAAGATTGTACTTCACCAGCTACATGTTAAGCTATAGCTATTGACATTGCTATTTATAATGCATGCATTCAGTTCAGGTCTTTTGAGCTTCATCTGTAGATATGTTTACGAATCCGATTCGTCCAAGGAATCGGTAAAAAATTCGAGCGGAAAGGATAACTTGAACATGATAATCGAGACGAAAACCCTGAAGTATTAATGTACCTGGATGGGAATGTGGGCTATATCGAAAACCGAAGAATATTGATAAATATATAGTATGTGGTCATCCCATATGCATCTCCTTTATTGGAAACCTTTCGTTTTCAGCTTTCTCCCAGATGGCAAGCTATCTGATCTTCATCAAAATGTTAGCATTGACCCTTAATCTCGATTACGAGTTTGAGCTCGACAGAACAGTTCAATACATCATGTAATAGTTATCGAATAAGCTACTAATTAATGTATATATAAAGTCAGCTAATTATGATTTTTTCTCCTGTCTCCATCATTAAATGGCTGCATCTTCTTGTCTTGTATCTAGTTGCATATAAACATATCTGAAATTGGTGGTTTATTGATTAATTTAATTTTTTCAAGCTGTTCTTAGTTTAATTAATTTTGATCTAAAAGTTCATTTGGTACAATTTTTTTAAAAGTCAAGAACTGCTTTTAAACATGTCTGAATAATTTTCTGAAAAGTGATTTATTTGGCTAGAAGAGATTATAGAGGAAGCTGGCATCAAAAAACTCTTTTGTAAGAAGCAGAAAAATATACAGAAGTTTTGTCAAGTGGATCCTAAGGTCAAGAAGATTTTCTAAAAGAAACAGAAGCCCTTGTCAAACATGTCCATAACCATTGCTTTGAAAGATGATAAAAAATGAAAGCATTTAATAAGAATACTTGACCTTTCATAAACCAAGGGTTTCTAACCATCGACTTGCAAGGAATTATGCTTCAATTCTTATGTGACACAAAAATACAGACCAGGTTCAAGAAAGGAAAAAAAAAAAAAGTAATTGTAAATTCTCAATAGATATTGGTATATTCTGAGACTTTTAAACCTACCTTAAATTGTAGTAAGATAAGGAGAATCAAGTTTAATTTCTTGATTCGCGATTGACGTGCATTTCTTTGCATCAATTTGTTCTAAAATAATGATTGAGCTGTCATTTAATTTATAGTTTAATGATATTTTTATAATTTGGTACCAACATGATGTGATGTATTTTCTATCGAACGGTAGATCATTACTTGATAGAAAATCTCATTACGATTGATGAAAATTCTATTAGTCCATGTCGACTTTCGAGATACGTTGGCCGACTGGAGGTTTAAGCTCATAGCTTTGAAAGAAGTCGCTCAATTTACTTGGCCTATGAAAATTACAATAGACTAATTTTTGTTAATTAATATAATTTTTATATATTTATTTCGAGTATATGAACCTGGTCTAGAATGCAGGTTAAATGACAAAAATTAAGGAAAAAACTACCGAAACAAATGAGTATAGCATCTTCATGCATCTTTTCGCCCTCCACTTTTTCAGCACTCTTTTGATGGAGAATTCACTCCAAAGTTGTGATTCTATTCATTTATCCCATAGCTGTGGCTAGGTTCGTGAATTACTACTTTCAACTTCATGTTTTTCCTCTATAAATAGTGACCAAAATTTGATTCTGGCAACATATTTAAAAGTTCAAGCTATATAGACACATTATCATTTGAGATTATATATTTTAGAATGTGAAAGCAATTTATATATCTCGTTAGGAGAATGCATCATGTTTCACCTCGAGTTCCCCTCAAACACTTCATTGCTTAGTGTTCTTTTCATGATTAATATCTAGTACTGAAGTGTTTGGAGGAACTCGTGATGTTACTTGATATGATTTAGTAGTGCAATACTGCAATGTGCTGCAAAATTATCAAGTGACTTAATTCGTGGTAATTAATTTTCCCTCTACATACACTATGAAGGTTGACATTATGGTTTCTTAATCTTGATTTCCTAATATGGTAAACAAGTGAGTGCTTGGTGCAAAGTACTAGGTGAAGTGACATGAATATTTGGTCAGAAATATAGAAACAAAGTAAAAAGTAAAAATTAGATAAAGTAATAAAGAAACTTTTAAAAATCATTATTAATCATATAAGGGTAGTTTTGTATCGCACAAACCTAATATAAAACTAAAGTTGTTAAACATGTTTTTCATATTTAATCACTTTTTATTTCTTTGATACACCGATCGATAAAGGTGGCTGCCATTGATTTTAATTGCATTCTTGTTACCTTGTCTATGTATATTTTGGAGTTAAGAAAATGCCTACCAATTGGAAGAAAGAGCTCACATGTCAATGACGATGCCGAGTTCACTTGGATGAGCCCATTTCAAGAAGATGAGACCTGGCCGCCTAGCATGAGGATAATAATATTTTAAGAAAATGAGGTTGAGCTCGAGTATGAGAAGGAAGCCATGATGATGAGGCGACGCTTTTTAGAAATGATGGTTCTAAGGTAGACAAGTTAATGCTAAGAAAAAATTGAGACGCAAAGTAGGAATAAACTATTTTGTAACCGTGAAGCCAATTAAATGGAACATTAACCATAGTTGGATCGACTCTAATCACCTACAAGTTTGGTCAAGTAATCCACTTACTTTATTATAACATGGGTCTATCTAGTTTGTCACAATCCTAAAAACTCAAGAGTCGGAAATTTCACTTACATAAGCTCACTATGGTCTCCATTTCAAGTTCCAAAGTAACATAATAAGTAAGTGCACCAATCGAGAAGCATGCTTCTTATATCTCTATATTTACTATCAGAACCATCTCTCCGAAGTATGAAAAAAGAGAGCAAACTCTCGCATAATTAATTTCTTCAACACACCAGTAACTCGATTGTATGCCGAAGTAACACTAGTCAAACCTAGTGATGGAAAAATAACTCGATTGGGCCCCTCCTCTAACCCATCTCGAAACTTCTACAACCAAATGCAATATTTTAATCTCGTTCCTGCGAGTAATTACAAGTTCTATTAACATGCTATAAAGTAGCCATTTTTAATGTAATAATTTTACTATGTTCTACATTCCATGAGGTACCAAATAGCAAAATTTGTAAAAGATGGACTCTACAAAGAAGCCATTGCACTTTACACAAAGCTCCATTCTGCCTCGTTACCTCCCACCAAATTCACCTTCCCTTACCTCCTCAAAGCATGTGCCAAGCTCAGTGCTCTTTCCCATGGTCAAATGTTCCATGCCCATCTCGTCAAAACAGGGCATCAAACAAACATTCACACAGCCACGGACCTCACTAACATGTATATGAAATTTCACTTATTAGATGAAGCCATCAAACTGTTCGACGAAATGCCTGACCCAAATATAGGTTCCATTAATGTTGTTATTTCTGGGTTTCTGCATAATGGGGATTTCGAGGAAGCTCTCAAAATCTTTAAACTAGTTAGTGTTGGGAATGATAAGCGCGATTCTGTTACTATAGCTACTGTGATGTCTGCGTGCGGTGATGTGGTGAATGGCGGGCAAGTGCATTGTTTGGCAGTCAAGATTGGTGTTGAAATGGATGTTTATGCTGCCGCGTCGCTTATGATNGTGGTGAATGGCGGGCAAGTGCATTGTTTGGCAGTCAAGATTGGTGTTGAAATGGATGTTTATGCTGCCGCGTCGCTTATGATGATGTATTTTAGTTGTGGACGTTTGGCTTCTGCAATAAGGTTGTTTAGATTGGTTGGGGATAAAAATTTGGTGTGTTATAATGCTTATATGTCAGGGCTACTGCAAAATGGGGTGTTTGGAATGGTATTAGACGTGTTTAATGAACTGAGAGAAGGTTTAGATGAGAAAGCCAATTCGGTGACCCTAATTTCAGTTCTTTCTGCTTGTGCAAATGGTAGGCATATCAAATTTGGTACGCAGCTTCATGCCTTCATAATTAAAGCTGACTTGAATTTTGATTCTAAGGTTGGAACTGCACTTGTGGATATGTACTCAAAATGTGGTTCTTGGAATTGTGCATATGAATTCTTCAAAGAAATGAATTGTAAAAGGACCCTGGTGACTTGGAACTCAATGATCACTGGAATGATGTTGAACGAACAGATTGAAATTGCCATTGAACTTTTTGTCCAGTTGGATTCAGAAGGATTCATACCAGATTCAGCGACATGGAATTCAATGATAAGTGGTTTTTCACAGTCAGGAAAGGCCGAGGAAGCCATCATGTTCTTCAGGAAGATGTTATCTTGTGGCGTAACACCACAACTGAAATGCATAACTAGCCTATTACCGGCTTGCTCAGCTCTTACTGCCTTTTCTTGTGGAAAGGAGATTCATGCATATGTTGTGAGGACTGATGCTTACAGTGATGAATTCGTTGCTACTGCACTCATCGACATGTACATGAAATGTGGGCAACCTTCGAAGGCACACTGTGTTTTCAGTCAGTTCTGCATAAAGCCTTATGATCCAGCATTCTGGAATGCTATGATTTCTGGGTATGGAAGAAATGGGGAGAGTAAAGCTGCTTTTGAAATATTCAATCAGATGATCAAGAACAAAGTTGAGCCAAACTTAGTTACTTTCAATTGCCTTTTGTCTATGTGTAGTCATACTGGTCAAATTGAAAAAGGATGGCAGACATTCAGATTGATGAGTGAAGACTATGGTCTAAATCCAACTGCCAAACAAATCAATATCATGATTGATCTCCTTGGTCGATCAGGTAGGCTGGATGAAGCTTGTGAATTATTACAAGGGATAACCGAAACGCCTGCTTCTGTTATCACTTCTTTGCTTGGCGCCTGTAAGTATCATTCAGATTCTAAGCTGGGAGAAGAAATGGCTAAGAGACTTTCAGAGCTGGAGCCTGAAAATGCGATTCCATTTGTTATTTTGTCCAACATATATGCTGAACAAGGAAAGTGGCAGGATGTGGAGAAGATTAGAACAATATTGGAGAACAAGGGACTTAAAAAGTTCCCCGGCTTTAGTTTAACAGGAGTGACATGAAAAGATAGAAAACAGATTATTTATAGTCTATTCTTCTAACAATTGGAGTTGGGGGCAGTCAATTCTACTTTGATAGTCATGATACTCTAGCTCCATAGAAAATTTGACAGTGTTTTCCTAAGACTGGACATGCCTGGAGTGAAATGGCAAGAGGTGTTTGAGGCTCCTCTGCATGTTAGGCTGCTTAGGTAGGCTGGTCATACTTCATCTTCCTGGACACATTATGGATTTGGAGACACATCATACTCTACGTGTTAGGTGATCTCTGCATCTGGTCGCTACAACTATGTTTGTTGAGCTAAACAACTGTGTTTTCTTGGATTTCCAAGTCCGAGCTCTCTTGATCGACCTTTGGCCGAATTGGTGCATTATCTTATTTGAGCTCGTCTTCCTAGCTAGGCCTTGTTTTGT